TTTTACTTTGTCTTATAAACACATCTGCAGCCTGCACATATTTAATAAGAGTAATCAGTTCTGTACATTGAAATATTCTGAGCCAGATGTTCCACTGTGACCAGGCTTCAGCAAAATGCTTTTAACGGCTCAGCTGGATGACTTTGGTGTTTAACAGAGGCAAATTTCAAATAAGATCTAAAATATACTTTGCGCTTATGCTTATTATGAAACGTTTGTGTCTGTTGCTGTGCTGTTGAGTGTGTGCCTGATCTGTTAGTTCTTAACTAAATGTGTGAGGTTTTGCAGAACTAAAACCTTTGATATACAAAGAAACAGCTAGACCCAGCAGAACTGGTTTTCTTTTATCTTAAAATTGTGTTGATCCCTTTTTTTTGTCATTACAATTTTTCATTTTGTTATTATCCCTTACCTATTTAGGATCCATCTTTGCTGTGATTTTTGTCAAGAATTTTTTCTGAATGGTGCAGCTGGTTCATAGTATTTAATGTGGCAGAGAGCCTGGATATGTAGGGTCAAGACTTGTGCTGCTTAAGGATTTTTGGATGTCCCTCTCTCAGAGACCTCACACGTGGGGTTGTTGTTTTTTGGGTTTTGTTTTTTTTTTTTTTTTTTTTTTTGTTTTTTTTTTTTTTTTTTTTTTTTTTTTTTTTTTTTTTTTTTTTTTTGGTTTTTTTTTTTTTCCTTTAAAGAGGCTGAACCCCTTTTAGAAAAGGGGGAAATAGTGTCACCATGCAACTCTTCTCTGCTACAGCAGCAGGGCTACTCATTTAATACCTTGATTTATAACAGTATTGTAATCTAGGAAGCAGGTGGAGTTACAACTGGTTATGGTACTTTGGATATTAATGGCTTGGCTTGGCAGTGGAATTCTAAAGCTGTATATACTTTTGCTGTTTTAATTATGCATTCATTAAAAGCTTTTATACCCAACAGAATAAAGTAAATATTGTTTGATCTCCGTAGTGTGCTCCCAGACTGTAGATTTGCACAGCAGGGTCTTGATAATCTGAATAAATTGTATTTCCCCAAGGAGTTTATCTTTCAAATAAGGTCATAAAGAAATGCATTCTTTCCCCTTAGTTCTCCTTGTGCTTTTTCTGCTATTTATAACACGGAGCACAGGAATGGAGGTATATCGTAGTCTGCTGTGTACTTGGTTATGATTAACTCTAATTTATCAATCTGTTACATCCTTTTCTGTGGCTTGCGCAAGGCAATTATTCTTTAAAGTATGAACAAATAAAGATGGTTTTGGAAGCAACTTAAACAGAGCATTTATATCTGTTTTTCCTGTTTGACAATTTATCATATTTCTATATTAAAATACACCTCTGTATCAAAATATTCACACTGTCACATCAGTTATTTTGAATATTTAATATTGTCATCTTTCAGATGATGTTTATTTGTAGAAGATGTTTTCTTTTATGAGTCTTTTAAATGTCAGCTCATTGTTGAATTGGTTTGGCATCTAAAGTTGATACTATTGAATCAGAAGACCCTTAGTGTGGAATAATAGATTCCCTTGCTTCAGTGGGGGGGTGCACGCTAAGTAGAATGCATGGGTTATAGGTAGTTTCTTATTTTAGAATTATACACTGATAAATAATTTGGACAATTTACTAAATTTTTTTGAGTTCACTGTGAGATTTCTGAACTATTTCAACTTAGTTTTAAGTGCTGTGCCTGTAATTTTATACATATTTTCTTAGCCTGATTGTTTCAGCACTGTAACATGCATCATATTAGAAAAGATAGGATCACTACCTTCAGCTCTTAGTGACAGTTCTGCTTGTGTCCATATTTCATCCTTCAGTACAAAAAAGATAAGTGGCTTATACATAAAAGTTTATGACAAAAGGGTTAAAAGTTTCCAAAATTTACATAAGCCTGTTTTCAAAGAACATATACTGCAATACAGTACCACAAGAAAGTCAAACTACTTCAAAATTTTGTAGTTGCTCAGTGAATGCAATATAATAAAATCTGTGAAAAGCAGAGACTGCCAGTACTCTTACTTATGAACACACCTAAATTTCCTGTTTAGTAACCTATTTCACCATTTACCAAAGTTTTTAATTCAATTAAGATTTTAGCCTGAAAAATTTATTCAAATCAGACTGAGCTGACAGTGATTGCTTTGATCCTTCCTGTGGGACTTTTTTAAAGTTAGAAGATAAGGTGCATATTTTTCTTGCAATTTATATTTATATACTTCATTTTAGACTGTTTTTGAAAGTTTTGCCACTTATAAGAGCAAAGTTATGTTATCTAGGGTATACATTGAGCAATCTCGATGTGACATTTTTGCCCTCTAGGATCATGACTGAGGCAGTAGTGTATAGTACTGTATAAACTTGATTTTTGTAAAACCTACTGCAATATTTGCCTCTTTGTCTGTGAAATATAAACCTGAAGATCAACTCTAACCTTACAAAATCAGAAATGAACATTACTGATTCCAGGCCAAGGCCAGTTTTAACAAAACACACTTTCAGTATTCATTAACAAGTAGACTGTAAGTTCAGCAGGTAACTAACACATTATGTTAGGAAGCATGAAAAATCATCTGAAACTTAGCAATGAAAATAAGTAAACACATAACACCCCCATCCTCCCAAAAAAAAAATAAACCCACTTACATAAATAAGCACATGAAATAAGTTACTACATGCATTTTAAATAACTGGTGAGATTTTATTTATACATCCGTAAGTATATTTGGCCTCTTCAACTGTAAGACAGCTTTCATAAAAACAACTTTGATTGCTGCTGATTTAAGAGGATAGATGATTTGGAGCTCATGAAAAATATCCAACCTAAAATGAAAGTTTACCAGCATCTTTCAGATTTCACTGAAAATGTCAAGATTTTTCAGGGGCAGATTACATTTGTATGTCTCATTACTGGTTCTTTATAATAAGGATTTTGTTATGTTATCTCCAGTATTTTTTTCCTCTGAAGTCTGCTAAAAGCCACTTCTCCTTCTCAACCAGCACTTAGTGGGGTTTGACCAGGCACGTATTTTAGTGGGACTGTTGATCCTCAGCTCACAGTGCTTGATTATCTATCATTTGTTTATTTATTTCCCTAGACCTAACCACTGACCACAAAAGAGCTCAATAAATACGCACTGAGCTCTTCTAAGTTTCTTTCTGGCATTTGGGATTTATTCAATCAGTGAGTTATTTGAAAAGATAGTTTTCTCAACCAGGGACAACAAACTGTGGTGTTGCTTGTCAAATACTGTGATGTTTGCTTTTATTAGACTTCTATGTGTTGTTGCCACCATTGCATGGCCATCACAGGAATGGGGTTATGAGATCTGAAGATACTAAATCACCAAGCAAGCACCCAGACCAGATACTTTTCATGTAAAATTTATTCTTTTCTCTTTTTTTCTGCAACCGCAGATTTATTCTTACCTCTGCTGTGTTAGTGTGAGGAGGAGCTGACACTAGAATAGCTGTGGCTTTTGGGATGATGGCTGTTAGTGCTTGTTCTGACAACGGAAAGAACTTACCTTTGTTCTTCCAAGAAAACCATGGGAAACTCTCATGCAGAAGTCCAAGTAGATAATGAATGGAATTTATCTTTAGTGTACAACTCTGCCAGGGAAGGTGAGCTGTTCAGACTGGGAGATTATGTAACAAGCAGGAACCTCCACAGGAATTTGATTCCATTTCCTCCAGTACTGACTCCTCTAAGCAGGTTAAAAAATTCTTTCTCCACTCTCCATTGCATATGCATAAACAGCTCCACAGTCATCGGGACAGGCACCCAATTCACACGTTCAAGATGTAGTCCATAAAACATTCCAAAAAAACCCCTCTTCGCACTTTCCCATCTTCCCTGTTGCTCTGCTCTATCTGCCAGCCGTGCAGCTCATTTGACATTTACAAGATTTCTTGTCAGTTTCATTTGGTGCTGCCATTCCATCCAGCAGAGCAGTGAAAGTGAAATTGACTTAATTTAGTCTGTTTCTCTTCCTTGCTCCAGTCCCCGCGTTAACTCACCAGCAAAGTGAGACTGACGAGGCTCCTTGTCATTCTCACACATGGGGCTGGTCAAGGGGAAGGCGGCTGATAGGGAGCAATGCGGTAAATTGGAAGATGAAAACCGGGATTGCGGAGGAGAGAGGAAGAGAGGTGTGAGCATGCAGCAAGAGCAGAGAAAATGGGTAAACGTGATTATTTCCCAGGTGCCCTGGACACTTTTGTCTAATAGAGGTGAATTCTTGGCCTGTTCCCTGAAAGGAGCAGTGTGCTTTGGAACAGCAGTAGTTAGTTGTCTAGGTACCAATTTATGAGGGATGCCAAGTTGAAAACGTTAGCCCATAAATATTGGTCCTCTGTTAGCAGGATGGGCAAAGCTTTCTGCCTTGAGCTACTATAGCTTTTGTCTCCTCACATTTTCAGCTGCTAGAAGGAGAGAGAGAGGAGTAGGAGGCCAACATCCACTATATTTTGATGGCAGTGGTTGGAGAAAAAAAAAGGGTTCATTTGTTCAATGAAGAAAAATAAAATGTAGCTCAGCATCTTGTATTTTGTGAAAAGTTGTGCTACACAGGTGCTCTAGTTCAATCAAAACAGTAAATAATAAGCCAACAATTGCTTTGTAACAAACCATTATAGTTAAAAAAATGCATTTTTTAAATCCACTTGTTAGCTCCTGTGAGCTCTTGACATACAGTGTAAATCATGCTGGTTTATTGTATTGTGTACTAATCCATATTTCTTACAGATGGTTTATGCATATATAACCTTAGGAGTTACAATATAAATTAGTACTATCATATATATTTGCATATGCAATGGTAACACATATACATTTTGAATGAGGCTGCGTTAATTAACTTCAAGTTATATTGCCTTCCTTCTCCAGAGCTCCAAAAGAATAACATTTTTTCATTATGTGAGACTTGTGGATTTTTATATTCTCTGTCTCGTGTTTGGGATATTTTTGTGACATGTATTTTTTTTGCTTCATTCATTTAGGAATTAAATAGTTTTAATTACTTGGACCTCTACAAGCTTGCTGATCTTTTCAACCTCACTTTGTTGGAGAATGCAGTCATTGGCTTCTTAGTAAAACATCTCTCTGAGCTATTGAAGAGTCATCCTGAAGAAGTTCTGGCACTCCCATACTGTCTTCTTCGAGAGGTTTTTAAAAGCGATAGACTCACTTCACTCAGTGAAGAACAAATCTGGCAGGTAAGGAGTGGTGAACAACCAGAATGTGTGACACTCTATAAACCATAGCAGTAATCTGTTGTTTTGAAACCCTGGAGCAGTCTCGAGGGAAAATAAGCACTTGAGCAAAAACTGTGAATAACAACTGAGGGAAATTTCTAAACGAAATTCTAAAAATGTTGTGTTGTGTTAATGCAATTACTTTGTTTGAAAGAGAATTTGTCATGCTGTTTAACTTCTGCTACTTAAATACAGACAGAGATTTTCCTCCAGATCCAACTTCTTTGATAGGAAGCGATGGCTGATGCATGCAACTCAATTATAATTGCCTCTGATGAAGCTAGTGCCATGAGTCTGGTGGCAAACCTGCTTCTGTAGTCTCTCTCATTCACTTCAGGCAAATTTAGCTGTATAACTTAAATAGTCATTGAAATTGTTTGGGCCACCACAGCTGACTTTGCCTGAAGCAAATGAGAGAATCATCACACAGGCAGCACTGCTCCAAGATGAGTGGAATCTTCGGTGGAAGGTTTGTCTCAAGAAGCCTGAGATCACTTCTTTTAAAAAACCTGGGTCTAGAAAAGGACCAAGTTGCTAGCCATGAAGTATTGACAAGACAAAAGCATCGTGTTGTGACTAACGTGAGAGAAACACATAGTCTATTAAGAGAAACACAAAAACTAAACCAAAATCTGCCCTTGGAAATGTTCCCATTGTATGTCTGTAAAAATTCACTATGGAGTGGAAGGAAATCTCTGTAATATTGATTACTCAAAGATATTTTTCTATTTTTCTGTTTTTTGTTTTGCTATCATGTTTTAGAGAGGAAAGTATTTCAGTGTATTTCAAGGTAGAAGGAAACTTGCTGAAAAGAAACCTGTGCATTCCTTTTAGGAAGTGGATTATATTGGTCTGACAGAGAAGACTGTGATTCAGAAAACTGATTTATTTTTCAACCCCTATTATCTATTCATCTTTTAGATTATTCTAAGGAGATAAGTACATTTAGATGCTATCAATTTCTCAAAGCGTAAAGTGTGTATTCATCAGTGGGATGCTTCATGTTCTGTGGATGAATAATGTCATGCAACATAAAATATTTATTATTAAAAAATAAAAATGTCAGGTTAACCAGTATGAAGATATAACATAACCCTTCAGTTATGTAGCAGGCATATTTTTTTCCAAACTTCTGAGGCTTTACATTATAGAATATGTTACAAAGGTGATATTTTCTGCAAATGCCAAAATGAAGCTTGACTTTTTCCTGTCCTAGTCCCTGGAGGATGCCTGTACAGGAGAACCTGCAATACACTACACATGATGATGGGTTGTGTTTGGTTAAGGTTTTTAAGGCACACTACTCTGGAGTCCTAGCACATATTCCCTTTATCAGAAGCAAGTTTTGATGTACAAGTTTATGTATGGAGTGGGGATGATTGGCTGATTGGGTTTCATCAGCATTTCTCTGCAGAGCCAGTGGAATCCCCTTGCTACATGCTTGGGTATGCTTCTGCTGGAAGAGTTTCTGTGGGAAGCCATACAAGTATAAATCGATACTGGCTCAGTAATATGCCTCTGTAATAAATATGCCTCTGCTATAATGATGTTTGGAAAGTGGGAGTTTTCAAATCCTGTTCTGCAAGACTCAGACTCTGAAGTAATTTTCTTAATTGTGTGCACTCCAGTCAATGAACACTTCATGAGGCAAATGTGACAAAGCTTCTGTTTCTGTTGCAGGGTCATACTGGGGAGAGATAGGTAATGTGCTGCTTTCTGAGTGACAACAAACTCCACACTGTCCATTTAAGTGTTATCATAATAGCCTCTCTAAAGGTTACTACTGCTGTTCCGAAGAATTTTTTTAAACTAGGTTTCTGCTGCAGGCAAAATGTGCATGCATCTTTTTAATTCGGTTTGTAAAATCAGGAATAAATATATATTTGTAAATATTCTAGGTTCCCAGAATGGATTAAAAGGCACATATAAATATTTACCAATTTGGGCATTCAGAAGGCAATAAGAAACTGGTTTCTTGCTTTATCTTAGTAAATAAGTAATTCTCTCATAGTCAACCCAATAGAAGAAAATCAAATCAGACCAGCTATATTGCCTCAAGTGTAGTTAAGTTCATCATTTTTGCTAAGGTTATAGTGGTAATGCAATATACCATGGAAGAATCTAATATTCAGCCCAGGGTGAAGATTGGGTATGCCAGAGGATTAGTGTCAGGGTGCTTTATAAAAGTGAAACTTGATGGACAGGCTGGAGACAGATCTACAGAATCTCATTAAATTGCTGAATTGTTCATTACTGAGCACTCTCACTGTAATAAAGTGCTCATTGACTTTGACAAATCCCCATCCCATGTCTTAAGGAAGAACAGCAAAGCAAGAGGTGTTGGGGAAGCTGGAGGAAATTTGCACAAAGTGGGGCAGATAATAGAAAAGCTGATGGGGGGATGCTACCATTTGATTTATCTGTCTTACCTGTGACTAGTGTGGCCTCTGCACACACACATAGCTGTGTGTCACAGCAATATGAATTCAGCATGTCCCCAAGGCACCTTTGCTAGTAGGACTGCCATGAAGCCCTAAGCACAAATTAAAGCTTCCCTCAGAGAACCTCAGGAAAGGGTGCCACTGTCTGCAGAGCACAGTTTTTTACACCAGTTTGAATTCCCAGTGCCCACTGGGTGATTGATCCTAGTCTACATAAAAATTAAGGTGGTTATTGTAATGCATCAAAAGGTGTACATGGAGTCATGCTTGAATATTATTGAGATGAATTGATTGCAGCTCTTACCTGTCATACTTTGGATTTTTCTAGGCTACCAATTCACAGTTGGCTAGTTCTAGTGAGTATGATGAAATAGAACTGTGAACAACCAAGTCTGAGAGAGTTAAACGATAATATTAGTGGCAGTGTTCTAGGCTATGGGTTACTGCCAACTACTAAAGAAATTCCTGTTGATTTTTCAGACTCTTTGGCTTGATGTATCTTATTTTAAGTGGAGACAATAGACAAGGACTATAGTGATGTGTTTCTTAAAAAAAATAAAAACCAAAACCCCCACCAGAAAGCCTGTGTAGGCTGTGAAATCGGATCAATTTATGAGCCTCTTCAATCAGGTCTTTCTTAGGTAAGCTAAGACAGTAATTATGATTATTCATTGACATAAGATATGTTTTCGTGTTGATTTTTACATTTTATTAGCACGAGCTTATGAAATATTTTTTACATAAGAAATTTTTGATTTGTCTGCTGCATTAAAATGTGTAAAGTTAAGTCAATGACACAAAAAAAAGGATTAAATAAAAAATGAAGAAAATAAAGGAAAGAATCATGAAGAAGGTGGAGAAAAATAAACTTTTTTTCCTGGTTTGTTCTTCTTCATCATGACCTGTGAGGCACCCTTCTTTTTTTCCACAGGAAGCAGTCATGACAAGAACATAAATGTCTAGTTTATCATTAAATGAAAAGTGAGTCTTATAATAATTGACCATTACAAGAAGTATTCATTCGCTGTACTTAAAGGAAGCAGGTGAATTCTTTTACTTGGTAATTGAAAAAGTAACCAACCCTGTAAGATGGAACAAGTTTGCCAGAGAAATATATTGTTAGAGAGCTCGTTGTTGGAATCTTAGCAGGTAGAAAAAAAGCCAAAGATTTAAATACAAAACTAATGTTAGCTTTAGTTATGATATAATTATGCCTTATATTTGTTATTAGAAACTTCAGTGTTATGAGGCTTAAATATTTATCTTTCAAATATCCTACTAATGGTTAGAGAGAGAAATATTTGCTGGATTATTCTGTCTCCCTGCAGTAGATTGGTCAAATGGTTCTGTATTAAATACAAAGTGGACTCCTAAATCATATTTGGAAAAAAATCTTCAGTGAGATCAGTATAGGTTAGTTTCTTCCATCTCTGCTTCTGTTTAAGTAGGTTGTTAAAGTATACATATTATTTTTAAACAGCTAACAATAAAAGCAGATCAGTTTTAGTATTTTTCAATACTTCAGAAGCAAAGTTAGAAGTTTTCTCTTGGCTTTCTTTGGTTTCTTTTTTTTTTCTTTTGCTAAGCAACTTGGTTACTTGGTAATCAATTGATAAGCAAGCAATCTAGGACAAGCTGGTAGATAAAACTGCATGAGTGGTTTATTCAGCTAGGATCCATGCAAATGTGTTGTGCCTTTTCCAAGGCATTCCTAAGACATTCTAGCCCTGTTAAATTTCTTGCTTGTAACTTCTGCACTTGTGTTTGTGAAGTACGTGTTCCGTGTGTGAAAGTGCAACATTAGTTGTTCCTTTTATCCTGTGGATGTGCAGAAACAGTGTTTGGTCTCTGTATTGGAGAAGTGTCTTTGCTTTAATAAATAGAAAAATGAAGGACAAGAAGACTGCAGTGTTATAGGTCAATATGAGCTTGTAATGCATCTTTTATAAAAATAATAAGTTTACAAATCCAGTTTTCTTATTGCAGTCCTGTTTATCCTCTTCTGTGCCCTATTTTCAAGAGCCTTTTCTTATGCTTGAGCTCCATTTTGGATTTCCTGATGGGATTTGTGAAGAGCCAAGATTATTCTTCAGCAGAAATCCCACAGTTCAATGCCATAGGAAATTTTGTGGTGTACACATTGTGGCAGCTTGCTATAATGGAACAGTTCTGTGCTGATGACAGATCCAAAGACATCTTCCATACATCTCCAATGGTGCACACATTTGCCTGTGCAGAACAGCAGTTTCTAAAGTGGGTTGTAATATTCTGGTGCAAGCTTGCCATTCCTTCAGATCAGTACTTGATTTTTTTTTCCCTGTCAATCTTTTGGTATTGCAGAGCAATTTTTCATATGGAGAGAGCAGAAGTCATTTTTCTCAGGGGTATATATATATTTTAATGAAATGTGGTCTAAGTGCCTTGCTAAATGTGAACTTAAGTTTTATTGCCAAACAAGTAACAACATAAAATATATGCAAAGGAAAGCATCTCAGTAATCAATGTTGTGTTTAAGCAGTA